ACACACACACACACACACACACACGTGTAAATTTCCTGGTCCCCTGTGATCTTTTCTTCCTGCCACTGTTTCATCTCATTGATGACAGGATTCTAATAAAGCACATAGTGATAATGTATTTTTGGTATTGATTTTGTAAGCGACCTGTTTATAAAAGTGGAATTATAAAATATTGCTGATGAAAGAAAAAAATACACATTCAATTTTTGAAAAATTTCACATTCAAAATATTGTAGTGTTTGTTTTACAGAGGGTGAAATCTCTTAAGAAATATGAGTGTTGTAACGATTTGGTAAGGTTTGAAACATCCGGTTTCTTTCAGTTATGGGTGGGACTGCACCTTTAACCTCAAATGTGCTTTGTGGGTTCTGGTGACTTTTGACTGATTTATGTTGTGCAAAATGTGAGAATTTCAAAGGTTACCTTGTTTTGAATCAAGGGATAATTGAATAATTAATGGTAATATTAATTATGTATATTAATGCAGTTGAGGAATGCTCATTTGTGAGAGTGAGATATTCTTATAGAGATTTTTCAGAATAGACAAACAGAGATGTGTGTGTGTGTGTGTGTGTGAGAGAGAGAGAGAGAGCTTCTCATTGATTGGTCTCTGCCCTGCCTATAGTCCTTAGAGAAATAAACTGAAGTAGCAAGAGAAATGCATATAACGGTATGAGAAAACGAGAGCTACATTAACCTCAGAACAAAAGTAGATCCTTTTGATTGTCTGCAGCTGTTTATTTAAGTTTATTCCGTCCAGGCAGATGACTTTCTCTAAATTATACGGTCTTTTTCACTTCCAAATACGGTATACTGCCGTAAAATTAATGTCCAATACATGTAATGTCCAATACAGTTTTTCACCGTATATAGTAGGGGAATTTACCGTTAACCATTTAACAGGATTTTACTGTAGCATTTTTACAGTCTTTTACCGTTAAATTCACGGTCATTTTTTACAGTGTATCTTTGGTTGGTTTACCTGACCTGTGCTGTGCTTGTGTTTGTCTCTCCGGTTGATTTGGTTCCGATGCCGGACCAGTACTCTCGGGGTGTGGTAAGATGAGCTTTACTCTGCATTACTAAAAGTAAAATATTTTAATAAATAGGACACCAAACATTGTGACATATGTCCTAAGTGGGTTTGGGTTGTATTGTTCTTGATGTGCATATGTGAGGATAATTTTACATGTGTAAAATCCCTATGCGCCAGATTTAAATAATATTAGTAAGTGGAATTTCTAGGATTTTTTGAAGAGAAGAGGGGCACGCAGGTACCAAAATGTGTTAGGCCTACACAATATGAATATGAGCTTAAATTGTGGACTCAAACCTCGTATTTATGATTATATGCAACTGTAGTCAACAATTCAATTCTCTTCATTCATCCATTAACTGAGGTGTACAATAAACAAAAGACCCATTAAATGACCTTAAAAAGGATAAAATGTCACTTCATTGTTAAAACGGATGGGTTGGAAATTCTTTAACTCGTGTCTAGATAAGGACAACACATTGTGTGTTACTTTTAAGTCAACAAGTGTGTTAGCCCTCTTAAGGCAAAACGTGTGTTTAGATCTTTTACACACTAATGTGTTATAATCACACAATTTGTGTAAAAAATGTGCTATTTGACCCACCACCTCTCATAATGTATCTATATAAACTACTGTTTAAAGAATGAAGAAGTTTAGAGGGACCTTCCCGTGGCCATGTAAAAAGAGATATTTCTGGCAGCACAGAGAGATAAAGAGATCATTTTTCAGTTTTTATGGACGACAATTTATTCAATGCAGAAACTCTAGCAAAAACAATAACTCACTTTGCGATCCATGAACGCGTATTACTGCAGGAAATCTCACAGTCTGAAGCATCTGTCATATAAAAAAAATTAACGCGCGCTGCATTTTCTCATAGGAAAAGGACTTGCATATAATAATTATGGTGGCAAGTATACTTTTATATACTTGAAAGTGGGCCAATTTAGTCCCAAGGAGTATTGAAATAGTACACTTACAAGTATACTACTAGTACACTGATATTTGTATACTTGCTACATAAAGTATACTTAAAAATATACTTGAACTTTACTTAAGTATACTTAATAAAATAAACTTGAAGTATACTACTTTTTGGTAAGGGTAGTTCAATCGACAGAAATACGGGACACACATCATAACTGCTGAAATATTTGCAGGGCAGACGGACAGGTCAGGTCAAATGGTACGCGCAGTGTGTACAGCCGTACAACTGCAGGCGCCACTGATTAGCGGCACGATGTAGGTTTTAAGCCAGGTGTCTTGACATTTTATCCTACCCGTCAGATTTTTCTACCAGGGCTTACTGCGCATGCGCACATCAATATTGCGTCCTTTTTTTTTTCACGCTGAACAACAATATTTAATGTATCTGCATTACTGTAAGGCTAGGTTTAGGGTTGGGGTAGGTGTAGACGTTAATGAAACACAATCTAATAAGTAGAAAAAAAGTATTTATTGTTGGTTTCCGGTAGCTTTATCCCTTGTAGCCACAACCGCGAATATAACACATAATTACTGTATTTGCATTACTGTAAGGGGAGGTTTAGGGGTGTGGTAGGTGGAGACATTAATAAACCATAATTTGACAGGCAGCATTTTTCGTTGTCGAATTGTACTACCTACTGTTTTAAAGGGAGGTAGCTAAATCTGACAGGGTCGCACAAATCGACAGAACACCGGAAGACAAAAATAATGCAAAAACCTCAAAAATGACCAGATTTCTCCTACAGTTAGTAAGTGTTAATTTGAAACGAATCACACCGCCTCTCCAAAATACGAATCAAAGATAAGATTGCTAGCAATTTGCCGCTTTCCTCATAATTATGTAGGCTACATTGCACTTCGACCCATACGAATTATAACAAACTTGGCAAAAGACATTTTGAAAGTCTTTAGTATCATATAAAATCAATCACCTGACTTCCAAGCAAGCGATATTCAATGAAATATTGAGGCGCCAGAGGAATAATGGCTTGTGACGTGACATAAGTAGCAATGATTGGATGGTAATTAACACATTGTGTTGGACAATGCTTTTTTTTAAAAACACATAACCAAAACAAAATGTATAGCAATGATGTTATTAATTAACACATCCTTTTTTTAAATGTATTTTTGTAATTTATATAAATCAAATAAATATATAATATAAATAAAGTATATTTTTTGCCTTTGGTAAGTTAACCTTAACTGTCACCGTCCCGTATACGGGACGCCTAAGTTTACTTCACTATAGTACAATTAAATCCTAATATAATCATGACAAACTATATATCATTGGAAAGGTTTAAGACTCCTAAATAGATATTTTACCATTTTATTTTGTTACAAATTATGTAGGAACAGTAATAGATTAATTTATGACAAGGGTGCACCAAGAATCTATGACAAATATACATCATAGCAGGAGTTCTGATCTTTGTCGCAAAAAGTCTTTATTTCGTTGCCTTTTTCCCTATTTCATGTTTTAGTAATCATCATAAGTCATATACCATTTGAAAGCTTAAAATCTCAAAATTTATCCTGTGAAAACCATTTTGAAATCGGACATTGCGTTACCATAGAAATGGTATTTCAAAATCTTTTAGCGGACTCCTCCCCCTTAGCGGGGGTGTCATATTACAAAATGTATTATGGTATTTTAGAATCAAAACTTTTTTGATAGATTTGAGAAATTAATAGATTTGTGACAGAAATGCATTAAAAAAATTAAATGCAGTTTGGGTGGCACCCGGTGGCTGTTTTTGGTATAACGCCTAAACAAAATTACATATGAACCTCAATTTTTTTTATTTCAACTTCAAATTTGGAACACAGCTTATGTAGACATATGGCTTTAATTTTATAGCAATTTTGTATTTTTAACTATTTTTTTAACTATTTATTTTATATAAAATAAAATAAAAAATAGTACAATACATTTTCTTTACAGTGAATTTAAACTTCTAGAACTTTTTAATACTTTCATTTTATTAAATGATTTCACTTCTGTAATAATCTGCTAATTGTCTTCTTTAAAAAGAGACCAACCTTAGGTCTGTGTTCAAAAGCGTTTATGAATTATAATAATTTAAGTTTGGATAGTGCACTTTTCAAAAATGGGGATGACAGTTAAGGGGTTAAACTAACATTTTTAGCGTGTGATGATTTCTCTTAGGATTGGTTGAGCAGGTATGGATACCTGCCCCCTCCGGACCCCTACACAGGAAAGCTGCAGACTAAAGAAGGCATTGAGAGAGCCTTCAAAGAAATGCAGCGTTTCGCTGGCCTCAAAGACACAGGCAAACTCGGTAATTGCAACACATGCAGGAAATGGTCTACCGGCATTGTTTCACAAGTCTTTTTCTGTGCTTTTTTTCTTTTTTCCCTCTTTCTTTCTGCAGTGTAGATTTTCCTGCTTTTTTTTTTTTTCAAATCAAATTAAATCAAAACACTATGTTTTCAATTCCTCATAAATGCAAGTGTAATGAAGAGATTAGAGTGACTTTTTTCCTCATGCTGTAGTTGGTGGCTTGTAAATGGTTTGGTCAATGCATTTCTAGAGAAAGAATTATTCATTGTCTCTCCTCCCCATATGGGTTTTTATTTCATGCACTGCAATGGGCTCTGTATCTCTGAAGTCTATATGTTGATTTGGGACCTGCTGTCCTGTGCTTCTCTAGACAGTGACACGCTGAAACTGATGAACACACCACGGTGTTCACTGCCAGACATTATAGGGTCTGAGGACAAGCTGAAAAAGCGGAGGAGGAAGAGAAGATACGCAACCACTGGGCTTCGCTGGAAAAAGTCTGACCTCATGTGGAGGTCTGCATTGTTAGATAAACAATGGTCACTGACACAACCGTATACAATGACCCTTTTAAATGTGCAGCCACTGACTGATCTTTTTTCCTCTTTCTTGTTTTAGCATCCAGAATTACCCATCTCTCCCTCCATTCCTCAAACCCAGTGAAGTGGACACTATAATGGCCTATGCCCTCAAAGCCTGGAGTGACGTCACCAACCTCAAGTTTCATGCTACATCCTCAAGCGAGCAGGACAGAGCTGATATCAAGATCTCTTTTGCTCGCTCGCTCCATGATGACGGGTATCCATTCGATGGGAAGGGAGGGACACTTGCTCATGCCTTCTTCCCAGGGGAGGCTGATGTTGCTGGAGATACACATTTTGATGATGAGGAGAGCTGGACCTATATGGGTATAAGGCTTTACTAAATATTTAGTGATTAATAGATGAATGACAGAATAAAGATAATAGTGTCATCATTCAGCTCATTTTGGTTCAATGTTGTTTTAGTTCAGGTTAATAATTGTCAGTGTTGGAAAGTTAGTATCATTATCAGCTCAATTTAGTTCATATTTTCTCATCCAATAGTGCAGTCAAAGTTAAATCAATACAATTACTCAATATGAATAGTCTTTTAAACACCAATATGTTATAATAGCTTTTTAATTTTTATATTGCTCTCTTTAAAATGACATTATCCTAACTTTTAAGTGTTACAACAGTAAATTCTCCCCAAATTTTTTTTTAAAAACTTTTTTCATAACAAATAAGTATTGCTGTATATGTATTTCGCAATTAATTACAAAGAAACACATTGCATTAAACATGAAACAATAAAATAGTATTTTCTTGTAAAACATACTCCAATAATCTATATTTACAACTTCAAAAAATCATGCTGTAAGTGTAAAGTGTATAAGTTCAGTATTAATGTACTGCCAGCAACTTATGTCGAAAAAAACCCCTCAAAAAGTGAGAAATCTCATTGTTACAGTACATGCCATATTTATTTTAGAACATTTGATTAATCGTTTACATAGATGAAATGAAGTCTGAAGAAGTTTATCTTGATTTTAAGTAGCCAAAAGTGGCCTCAATTGATGAATCACCCACTTATAAATGTTCTTACAAATAAATGAAGAACCACTCTTCTTATTCTCTCAATTTGTTTAGATGACAGTGGCACTGATTTGTTCGCGGTGGCTGTGCATGAATTTGGTCATGCCCTGGGTCTCTCTCATTCCTCCTCTCATCCGTCCATCCGTTGGTGATATCGCATCCTACACACTTCCAGAAGATGATCACTATGCCATTCAGTCGCTCTACGGTAGGAGCATGTTCATAAGCTTCAGTTACCTGCAGGGGTGCATTAACGCACAGGCTTTAATGGGCTGCTGGGACATTGTATTTTTTGAAAAATTATTTGTATATATGGGAGTTTGCAACAGTGACAACAGCATTCTGTAAACAATCTCACACACTCACTTTAGGCTATAATTCTGCTGTTCCACAAGCGCCACCTTCTGGCAAAGAGTGAATTTGCATATTCACTTATATTCACATTTACACAGAACAATGTTGTAAATGTTAACTAGCATATCAATAGGAAAAAAAATTTGTCATATATAATTGTCAGGAAGATTAAAAAAAAAACTATCTAGGGTAGGGGGCCTACCATAATGCTGTAGCCCAGGGGCCTCTGGTTATCTTTAGGCACCCCTGGTTACCTGCTCTGGTAGGGATGTAACGATGCACCCCGAACCGGTTGAAAATCAATACAAATATGTGACGATTCAAATCGGTTGAGATGTTAAATGAATCGCGATACAGTTGGAGGTATGAGTTTATATGAATGTATCTCTGAAGGGAAATGACTGTCTTCAGAAAAGTTTCAATGGTATTTTCTTTTTATCTTGCCTCTGATTAGTGTTTATAAGCGCAGCGCTGCTTTGTTAACATTGGTAACCAAGGAAACGCTGTATCGCTGCTGTTCCATGAGCGCCACCTGCTGTCAGAGAGTGAATTTGCATCTCATGCAGCCCGTCTGCTGTTTTTGTTTCGTGCAGATATGTTTTATGTAGTATAGTTTCACAAAGCTAAAGTCAGACCATTCTGTTTTTGCTGCAAATTTCGAAATTATACAATCTAATTTCAACCAACAACTCATGTATGCAGCATCTTTGTTTGGATTGTGATTAAAATGCAGTGGTTGTCTCTAATTTTAAATGGAAAGCACAGGCAAAGCCTTAGTTTGTTTATATGAAGAGATTTCTTTTATTTGTATTATTTATTTATTTGATTTGGGTTTTGTTTTAAAACTTCAGTTTAGTTTAGTTATTTGACATATGACATATTGCAGCATTTTGTCCAAGCAATATAAAAGGACACCTTTTCATTTAGAATTTGTCTTAAATCTTATTTTGTTCAAACAAAAATGTAAATAAATCGTAAAAAAAACAAAAAAACAATCAGTATTGTGAATTGTATCGCATTGTGAGTTAAGTGAATCGTTACATCCCTATGCTCTGGTAACTGTAATTTCTACTTAAAGAAATAGTTCACCCAGATATGAATATTGTGCTCACTTTCATGTCATTTCAAACCTGGAAGATCCATGGAAGATTTCAAGTCTTCTGAAGTTTTCTTTCTTATTAAACTATCCCTTTAAATAAGAACATGTGCCAAGAATGTAAAATTAAATAAAATTAAACTGTAACTCTTTTTTTTTTTCATTTATTAGATTAGGCATGGATCGTATTTCATTGTCTGTAAACCTTTTTTTCCAGTTTATCGTGATACGCTGAGCTGACCATATCTAAATTTGTCGCTGTGGTTTTGGTATGTGTTTTGGCAGGAAGTAAGAGAAGCTCATCAACACCATCCCCAAATCATCCCACACCAAACTTGCCCAAACCACCAAGTCCACCTCAGCCCAAAGTACCATTACAGTGAGTCATTTTTACCAAGACACAAACACTTCCGTTCAAAAGTTTGGGTTCAGTAAGAAATTGTATATTTATTCAGCAAGGCTGCATTACACTGATCAAAATTGACAGTAAGATTTCAAATAAATTATTTCAATTTTTTTTTTTTTTTTACAAAAATACGAAGCGATACAATTGTTTTCAAAAGTGATAATAATATATCAGCATATTAGAATGATTTAAGGGTCATGTGACATTGAAGACTGAAGTAATGATGCTGAAAATTCAGCTTTGAATCACAGGAATAAATTACATATTCACATATATTCACATTGTAATAATATTCCACAATATTACAGATTTTACTCTATCAAATAAATGCAGCCTTGTTGAGCATAAGAGAATGCTTTCAAAAACAGCCCAAACTTTTGCACAGTAGCGTAGATACACAGTGTGGAACTTCTCCAGCACTAAAAAACAACAAATTAAAAGTGTTAACAACCTCTGTGACCTCTCTGTTAATCTAGACCTGATCCATCAGTCCAGAATCGTTGTGAAGAGGTTTTGATGCAGTGGCAAACATCAGAGGAGAAGTTTTCTTTTTTAAAGGTATCCAATGACTATTCTTACAAATGCACAGATTTTGCACAGACAGATCCAGTTGATCATCTTAAAAGCCACTTGAAGCTCAAGATTTAAACCTGCTGTTATAATGCAAGACACTATAGGTGAATAGAGTAAACATTTCAACTAATAGATAACACCATGCTTTCTCCCGCTGATTAAACACAGGATTATTAGACGTTTTCAGAAATGTAATGATTACATCTGCAAATGATGCATTATCTAATGAAATATGCACTAATTTGCACATTTCCAGAACAGAAATGTAAAGATGCATGTGTGTTATGGACAAATTAGGGAAGCAAAATAGCCCAAAATCTCAGAACTGACGTTAAACACTGGATTTGCTTGTAGTGTCTTGCATTAAATTAATTTGTCACAAATGTGGAAGAGCATTTCGTTTTGTTTCATTCCTTTTGCTCTAGGTCCATATTTCTGGCGAATCCAGCGATCTGGTTCTCTTGTGTCCTTTCACCCTGCTCTCATAAAAAACTTCTGGATCGGTCTTCCTCCTGGCACTAACCAGATAGATGCAGTTTATGAAAGAAAAACGGATAGCAGGATCATCTTCTTCATAGGTTAGTTTTTTTTTACTCAATTTGGGCACAAAAGAAGGACAGATCCATTTGAAAAAGCTCATTTCTGTAAGTGAATGCGTAACTTTCCCCACACAGGCTCACAGTACTGGGTATTTAAAGACACCATGGCGATTTCTGGCTACCCACGTCCGCTGTCAGACTGGGGGCTGATCTCTCATGACGGAAGTGAGGTGAGGAGGGTGGACGCTGCCTTTATTTGGGCTCATAATGGAAAAAGCTACATCTTCAGTGGTGGAGAGTTCTGGAGGTTCTCTGAAGGCCCTGAGACTGAGAAGCACCATCCAGACGCAGGTTATCCCAGAAACTCCTCCCTCTGGAAGGGCGCGCCCAGTAAACCTGATGATATCATCACCTGGGAAGACGGTAATGTAGAGAAAGTCTGTTTACCTCAAGTGCATTTTCAGCTAGGCTGCTACATTATCAGTTTACTATAGCTAGAAGCTTTGGCTTTGTTTGTTACCACTCTAATCAATCTGTAGCAGTCAATGAGACTATGTTCAGAATAGAGCACTGCAGTAATGATGTGTTAGTTAGCATCACCCTGGTTCCCTTGACGAAAACCTGGAAAATGCGAACTTGTTTCCGGGTTTGTCTACAGATTGTTTTTATTTTTTAATTTAATACTTATTGTACTGTAATTCATGGAGTTATTATTCAATAATTTCATGAGTTAGATGTACATCTCAGACATCAAAATGCATTAAAACCTATAAGCTAACTGAGTCATTCAATTTGAACACAGGGTTGCTATTATGACATATCTTCAATTAAAATATGGACAATTTATATATTTATATTCATATGTCTGTATTAAAGTCATCGAATAAATTTGCCTTTCAGCTGAATCTCTTTTACTGGGTTTCTGCTTTGTCTGTCATTGGTTATTCAATTATTCAACTAAATTGTCAAAACACAATTAGAAACATAATAGTTTATTTGGTATTTTACATTAAAGTCCCCATGAAATCAAAATTAAAGTTTTTTGGGTGTTAGTATCAATATGTTAGTCTTAAGGTTATCTATAAGGCAGTGTGCTCCAAAACAGTGACAAAATTTGCATTTAGAAGATATAAGCATTCAAAGCTTGCAGTTCGTCACTTCCGTCAAAACGGCTCACCGATTTGTTTGACATCACATCGTACTTCAGCTTCTCATCAAACTTTCTGTCCAATCAAATGCTCTCTAGAATCCGAAGTGCCCGCCCCCTACACTATAAAATAGACGTTGAAGCCATGGCTGAAATCGGTCACTTGTTCACAGAATTAGTATTTTCTGTACAGTGAATGGCACGTAGTGCACTATATAAGGGACAGGGAACGATTCAAACAGTGTAAATATGCTTTCCATTGAGGAAAAAAAGAAGTCTGGTTTGGCGCTGTGTAATGCTAACCACACTCTGCTCCGGTCCAGAGACACGATAGCATGGAGCGGATCACATGCGCGAGTCGGCGCAGACCACAAAATGTATCGGAGCTATTTGAATTCTACACAGAATGCTATATTTTATAGCAATATGGATGAGATTGTGGCTGGCATACCCTGTCAAAAACGGAGCTCAACGGCTCTGAACGGCTCCAGCCCAAGCTGTGATATAAATGAACGCTATTGGCTATTGGGCTGCTTGATATGTCCCGCCCTGTCTTCCTGTTTCAGTTAAAATGACGTCAACACATAGAGTAACACTGCGTGTTTCTAAGCATTTCAGGGGACCTTTAATGACACTTTAAAATGGTCTTAAAAGTACATTAAAGGTATAGTAAAATATAGAAACACACAATGCAATGCAATCTACTTGATCTTCCATAACAAATTATGCGGAATTAATATCAACCACAAGTTTTAACATGATCTTCTTCACTCATTATTTGAAAAGTAAATGTAAATATTCAATCTGATAATGTCATGTGACAAAACCATGTAGCATTAAAATATTTAATGCAGAATTACACAATGCTGGTATGCAGTACGTTGCACACAAATATTGGGTGAAATGCATTTTTGTTTTAATTTCACTATTTTAATCAACATTTCTCCAACTTTGCATGCAATCTTAAAGGGATAGTTCACCCAAAAATGAAAATTCTGTCTTTAATTACTC